TCGACGTGTCGGAGGGCTTCTCTCTGCTCTCCCTCATCGCTGCCAGCCATGGACATGTGAAAGCATTCAGCTCTGTGGAGAAGGTAAAGCAACAGGAAGTCCTAAAGAGACTGGCTCAGTCCAATAATGTCCCCAAGCAGCATCTCGAGTTCTGGCTGAACAACATGGAGGATGAGCAGGGGATGCTGAAGAGGCCGTCCAGGGAGAAGCTGTGGAGCGCCATCATACTGGACTGTGTGGAGACATGTGGGCTGATCAGACAGAAGCTGATGGAGAAGGCTTCCCTGGCCCGGTGAGGAGAAGCAGCCAGAGGGGGGAGGGGCGTGTAGAGACGTTCCATCCATTTTGAGAATTTAGCTTCGTGTTGTGATACGTTTTTATTGTTAAATGTATTTCTATGATCTATACTAGGTGTTTGCTGGAAGACGGAGGAAGTATTTTCCCAGCAAAGATCGTGGTGCAGGGTATTCTGGTGGAGTCGGACACGTTGCTGCTGGAGAGTGCCGTCCAGGGTCAGGAGGCGACGCTGGGGTTCAACATCGCTCCGTTCATCAACCAGTTCACTGTGAGTAGAAACGCTATCATGTATCAAGAACAACATGTTTGTGGTTTTCCCTTTGCTGGATTGCTTGGATTATTTCATTTTCATTTTGAGGAACAAAAAGATTTAGGCTACCTTCACTGAGACACCCGGCAAAGGATGGTAGATCACCTGGGTGCGAAAATACAGAGAATCAAGCACATCTTGGGCAACAAAGAACAGAACAGATAATGATGGAGAACTGTTCTGCAGATCATGAAGTCCAGCAACTTCATTCATATTTGTTTTAACATTTTAAAATGATCGCTGCACAGGGAAAAATCGACTTGGCAGTTGCTAAATATATTAAGGGCTGATATTCTGCATGTTAACTGCGGCTTTACCAGGATTTCTCTAAACTGATCACTTGTTAAGTGGCATATTTTCAATTTCAAACTAGAGTGTTCAGATATCACACATGGAATACACAAAACAATGAAAGTATAATACAAATATATTTTAAAAACAGCAAAAACTTTACTGTGAACTATTCAAAGGCTCTGTTCTTACTAAATAGTGATTTTATATATTATCAACCTAATAATGAATGAGAAATCACATTTAGACTCACTTAAACCCTCTCAAAGGTACAACTGTGTCAGTCTTTATAACAGAAGTTGCAAAATCTTACTGTTGTGCTTCTCAGCCTGCTCTTATCTTGTATTCTGTCTCATGTTCCTGAGGCAACAACAGTCAGTTTTCACATGCGCTGTGTTTGTAAGCTTGCATCATTCTCATTTAGTCTGCCCATTAGTATTGCTTGTGAGACTTTTAAAATATGACAGACATATAGTGCAATACTATAAAGGTGTGAAATGTTTTTTTGTTGTGTTTCCCGCCATGTTTGGGTTGTCTTGTGTTGAACCAGGTATTTCTCTTGGAATACTAAGGTCCAGGACGTTGTTTTGTGTTGTGCACTCGTCTTTGATGTTTGCTTCCCAGCTGCGATATAGAAGCTGCAAAATCCCTTTGAATGCTTTCTCTTTATTTGGTCTGGAAATTATATATTTTTTCCAGCATCACGTTTGTGCTCTAATTTAGCATGCCCCACTCGGGACGGCCGTTTGTTTTAACAGATGTTGTCTTTGAAGCCCTCAGTGGAGGGCACTTTCTAGCACAACTGTCACACAAGACACAACACACAGCTTGGCCCAAGACATTCCTACCTGAATCCATCAGTATACATTACGTCAAGCACATCAAACAGAGAGCTCTGAGCTCTACACACACTGTGACAGGCAGGGGGAAACATTCTTTTGTTCTGCAGTAAAGGAAACTGTGACACTTTCTGCGCTGCCACTTTGGTTTATACCTCAGCTTTTAAGTGTGTCGCCCTGCGGCCACGGCCTGTTTGTCAAGTTGTCAAGAGTTCAAGGTAGAAGATTTGTTTTCGAGCATTAATCAGTGATTGAGTGATTATTCTCTGACACTGGCAATTAAAGCTAAATAATGGTTTGGGAGAAAGAGTCAGCCGCTGTGTTATATTTAACAAACTGTTACTGCAGCAGTGTTCCTTTTTAAAAGTTGAAAACCTTTTCCATTTGTAAAAATCTGTACCATGAGCCAACAATTCTAAAAGAATATTTATTTCATTTTTCCATCACCTCATATAGCGGATCCAAAATAACTTACAATAAGTGCAACCATAAGTATATAGTGTCAGAAGAACAGTTAATTGGCTTCAAATAAGCTCAACCTTTTCGTTTAGGTTCAAAATTGTAAAATAAAGCCACACATTTTATTTTACATGTTCACTAAAATGAAGCAGTGTTCCCTGTGTTTATTTTATGGTGTAAATCCATTCCTTCACTAATTTAAAGTTTGTGCCAAACTGAACATCAGTAGCACCTGTTTTGTTTTACATCTCTGTCAGAACTTCTTCCCTGGTCTTTTTATTTGTTTTCATATTATGTAGTTCCTTATTGATAACTTCATCAGATAGGCTTTTCTTTTATCTGCTGAAAACAACTGACGAACGCTGCTTTGATCTTTTATGCCTTTAGGTACCGGTACATGTGTTTTTGGACTTCTCCACACTGGAGTGCAGGCATCTCAGTGAGTTTGTGGAGCTCTTTGTTCTGGACCTGATGGAATCCACCGCCAACTACACCAACAGAGAAGTAAAGGTAAGAAACAAATTAGCCTAATTAGTGATGTGATTGTTATAACTCTTGAAAAAGGTCTTCTCTTTTTAAGTACTGGGGTTTAACAGTCCTCAGCTGCTGAACCTTAAATTCATGTACTGACTCTCCAAGCCAAACAATCCCATGGTTACATTCAGGTACAAAAACATATCACCAAAAAACCTGGAAATACTTCATTCCTGATTCCTGAAGATGTACCTGTGCACATCTCCCATAAACAAACTCTAACTTGGCTCTCCTTCTAAATGTTATTTTTCTTTTTTTTGCAAATTAAAAACTAAAATACAAAACTTTAGGCGCTTTCACACCGGAGTACTTTTCCCAGGAATAGTTCCGATAGTTCCTGGGATTTTGCGTTCACACCAAAAAGATTTTTGCTAACCTTTTCACCCCTTTTTAGTAGACTTTCCTGGGGAGAAAAAGGTTCCAATTTCTGATGGGCGAATTGCAAACCACGCCCCGTAAAACTCGGAAGAACTTGTGAAGCCGCGATTTTATTTGCTCGCATTAGCATTATTAGCATTAGCCCAGCGCACCAACGGAGTGAGACTAACTTTTGGCAACACAAAAGAAAACATGGGAGCGGTGGAGATGAGGAGGTGTCGGCGCTTCTGGCGATTTACTCGGAAGGACTTCCGGCCAGGGACTTCGGGTGGCAGTATACGCCGTGAAGTTGTTTGCGGCCTGCCACTAAACCCAAAGCAGAAGAAGAAAAAGTGACGTCAGCGGCTCCCTCAGGAACTTATTCCGGTGTGAACGCGATTTACTAGATAGTCCCAGGAAATAAAAGTTCCGGGAACTATTCCTGGGAAAAGTACTTGGGGTGTTTCTCAATGTCGAGGACGCTTGCTTTGTAGCACATGTCTTCCAAGTCACTTGCTTCAGAAGTGAGGCAAGAATCCTTCCTAGCCTCAGAAAACAAATAATTGTGGAACAGGCTAACAGGTGTGCAGGTGTGCGTCATATGCGAGGCCCCGCCTTAAATGGAGCGCGATTTCCGCCAATTATTTGGAAATTGGTCCGTGCGCAAAGCATTGTGGGGATTTTAAGACCACGGAGTCTACTCATGTGCATCCTCGAAATTTCTCGCTACGAAGTACGCCGGCCTCGGTAGAATTCCAAGTATGCTGGACATTGGAACAGGCCTTCGGCGGCACTCGATGACGTAGTATGCTTGAAATAGTGGCTCTGGAGCAGCCTTCCTCGACATTGAGAAACCAGCTTGGTGTGAAAGTGCCTTTTGTGATTTGGGTGATATATTTCTTGGGCTTTCCAGAAGATATCATCATACATTCAGCAATCTAACATGAGGTACAATAAGAATTGATCAAATCCATGCTTTTTACCTTAAACTTTCTAAAATTAAAATGCTAAAATTATTTTTCTATGTGGATTATAAAAAAAACATAATCTCATTTTAATTTGTTATGCATCACTGTGTCACTGTTTCGAATTTGCGATGTAATTAACAGGTAATGCTGCAGCATACATTATATTAAATATGATATAGTTAACTTTGTACAGTTTAACATCTTATAAAGCAATAATCCCTGTTTCTCAGGTCCAGGCGACATCGGCAGGCAGAGTTACAGCCATTCCCTTCTGGTACCAGATCCACCTGGACCAGGAGATCAGCGTCAGCACCCTCAGCCAGAACTCCCACTGGAAGCAGGCGGCCGTGGTGCTGCAGCAGCCTCTGAGGGTGCAGGCCGGAGACTGGGTGCGCCTCGCTGTGAAGCTTCAGAAGAGTGCCATCTCCATATCAGCACATATAGAGAATCCCCCCGGACCAATGGAACAATAATCTCACAGTATTTTAGCAATTAAGTTTCATTTCGATGTATGTTAACCCTCAATTAAATAGAGGCTCATAGGGAAGTGCATTAAACACTATGCAGTGATTTTCTGGTTACATTTAAAGATCCAACTTCTGTAGCGTCGTTTTCCATCGATGTAAAACCTGTCTTCAAAGTTTTTTCTGTTTTGAGCTTTAGTAGAATCCTACATGAGCCACGCCATTGGGGAATCATCCCCTTCTTAAAGCATCTGTAACGATAACACTTTAAGTCATGTTTTTATTTCTACATTGTGCCATAAAATAATAGGACATTTAAACTTGTACTTATGAATATATTATTTGTAAGTATATAAATATTATAGATGTCCCTTGATTATGGAAACAGTTGTTTTTGTAAAGCTGTATGTTGGTATCAATTAAAAAAAAAAGTTAAAGAATTAATGTCATGTTCTTAATAAATTCAAGACAAAAGAATTTGGAAATTGTAATTTATCTGATTTATTGAAGAGACTGTCAGAGAAGTGGAATCATTTACATCAGCTCTGATGTCATCCTGTCAGTTTTATTGAAGAACAAAAATGATATAAGGCAATGTGCTTTAGTCAGACATGATGCTGATATTTCCATACATTTGTGTCTTTTTTCGGACAAACTGATATCATACACTTGCATTAAATATGTCAATATCCCTGCTCAAAATAAATCATGTAACAACATTGACAAAAGAGCTCGGAAGAAGACAACAAATGGTCATTCCAGCTAAAATCAAAGGGTACCATCTCATCAAATAAAACCGATCCTGGAATATAAAGGCTGTATTGATGTAGTGGCTGCAGTAGTTCCACGGCACAAGTAACAAGGCATCACATGTTTCAGTTAGCTGTGTGCATTAAGCACTGTTGAGGAATTACCAGACTGTTGATTTGAACAGTGATTGAATTGTGTTTGTTGTCTTAATACTCAGACTGTACATCCAGTATATACTCAAACAAATATATTGTTTTTTATTCCATCAGGGCACATCTTTCAGCACTAGTCAGTAGTTAATTACTGCATGAGACCGTTTAGTCTCAAATGTGCATCACCAAAGTGTGTTGCTTCTGCTATTGAATCCCTTCCCTCTGGGGTACAGGGACTTTACGGACTAGGGCCAACAAAATAAGAGGATTCTGGACATCTAATGTGCTTTAGTACCGTAGATACTACAATGTAACATTACTTATTTCAATCAATGTCCTCTGAAATCCCATATATAAAGTAAGATATAGAATAAGGAAAACATTTAGTAACATTGCATATTTCACTTAATCACCCAACTGTAACATTTGAGGTCATGTTTGGACACAAAAAAAGTAGCAATTTCCTGTTTGGAAAGGATATTCATCCAAGCTTTGATCAGAGTTCAGCAAGGGTTAACTGGTGTCTTATCGCAACACACACGACAGTATGCTTCGAGACACATTCAAATAAACTGGAATTTCCCAATAACAATTCATTTTAAAATCTTTCTTCTACTGTGCCATAACTCCTAAGTACAACGAAACTGCGTAAAATGCTTTTTTTTAAATAAAATCATTTAGTGCCATACCTTCACTGAACATTCTTGGAGCCGTCACTGGGAGAGAGGTCCATCTGACTTTGCATTTATTTGCAAACTTCTATTACTTTGTTGATGTGCCCTTCAAACAGCAGTTTTAATACTGCATCAGTACAGTAACATCTGAAGTAACATGGCAAGGCTGTGATTGGGTCCCGCCCAACAATGTCTGATTAGTAACATCGGCCGTAACGATAGGCTAGGTGATCTCGATGAGATCTGCCTCAGCTGGTTCTTTGGTTTCGGACCTTTCCCCTTCCTGGCTTTTTTCAGGTTCAGCTTCAGGTTCAGCTTCATATCCTTCATCCCAGGGGGCCGAGCTGAGCCCAGCGGGGGCCGACCGGGAGTGAGGTGTGGGGGTTCTGCCCAGACCCTGGTACTGACCATTGGGAGAGACAGGGTAGGCTGCCGCTTCTGTGATGGCATCCTGGGAGGCCGAGGAGAGCAGGCCAGATCGCTCCCCATCCTGCTGCGCCTCACCGAAGTAGGACTTCCTGGGACGACCCATAACTGTTCTGCCTGTAGATAAGGACACAAAACATCTTAACCCTTCTCTCGATATTGGAGGTTATCGAACAGATCATTTCATTTACAGCTGTGGAAGCACTATGGTACTCTGGGGGCACTTACCAACATTGCGGACTTGTTCAGAAATGTCTGCCCTGACATCTGAAACGTCCCACATTGCCATAAAAGAGTCAAAGCAAGAACCCTCCTCAGCCTCCTGGATGTACGGCTTGTAGGTGAAGCTGAAGTGATGGGCAATGGCTGCCAGAAACATCTCCACACAGATGACGAAATCCTGAGAAAAACACTTGGTTGGTTAGGTTTCACACAGATGAAAGTGAAGTGAAGAGGCCATATCGTTTTACTAATAGAATGACTTTGTCTTTATGTCAATATTTAGACACTAAGATCAAACCCAGAACATGAAGTTATTCTCATAGTTTAATAGTTATCAATTACCCAGATTTGCTTTAGCTTACCTGTAAGCCAGTAGCTACAGCCTCCACACTTTTCCAGTCCCATGTACTGTCCACTGAGATAACGCCTGCTTTTACCAGCAAAGCAATGAACACAGCTTGCCTAGAAGAGTTAAACAATAACCAATTAATATTCTCATGGCTGTAGATCCAGAGACTGCAAGCTTACTTCACCAACATATGTCATTTCTAGAAACAAGGTGAAAACAACTCATACAAAGTATTTATTCCCAAAATGTCAATGTCATAAATCATTTTGAACACACGGAGAATTACCAGAAAGAGACGAACACCACCATTTTGACACATAGGAATTTTCCCACTGGCTTGATTGGACCGAGTTCTTCTCTCAGAGCCCGGTAGAACAGCACCAGGCAGTACATGGCAAACTAGATCAAGAGAAGAAATCTATTTCCAGATACGCAATTTAAAACATGCATATTATCTTTTATTGTAGTCCCAGACACAGTCTTTACTAAAACTCAAGAAGCAGTAGTGGTATTACCAGCTGTGACATATTGTTGAAGATGACCAGGTACGTCCATGCATTTTTCGAACTAAAATTGCCTTCATCATAAACTCCACACAGCTGACAGATTCTAGGAAGGAGTCAAATCATACATCCGTTAAAATAGTGAACAAGAAGCCTAGATTGGTATCACAGCATAAATGAAGGACATGAAGCGCACAGGTTACTTACAAGGCAATCACTGTTGTGATAGGTCTTACTACGGTGTACTGCAACACTCCCAGTTTGCATCTCACCAGAAGAACCCTGCAGAGGAAAGGATTGAAGAAAATAATAAGTTGAACAACACCTGGTTTGCTTACATCGGTACAAATATATTCAACTTAAAATAAAACCGAATCACTTATAGTTACGAAAAATGTGTTTTGGAATGATAACAATTCAAAATGTATCTGCCTGATTTTCCTCAATAACTATTTGATCATTATCTCGCATGCAACAATACTGGAAAGGGTAAGAAGAACATTTAAAAAAGGGCAGTATTATAAAATGCTACGCTAATAAATTAAGCTTAAACTGCTGAACTTCAGGCAAATGTTAAATACATGTGTTCTCCCTCAATTACAAAGAACAATCTGATTGTAGTAGAAGATCAGGATAAATAGACGGCACGTGAGCACGTTAGCCAAAAATAGATGTGAGGCTAATTAGAAGCTGGTGACTGTCATGGATTTGTTAACTAAGTTTCAAATTCAACGCCTTGAACTTCCGTCTTACATCTGTTCCCTGACCTCACAGCGTATTGTAAATGGCTACTGCCTGAGATCTAAAGCTGTGGTTGTATTACATGTGCCAACTGCTAGGACTGTATTAGGAAATACAGCTTTTAGATGCGCAGCGCCGCTAGCATGGAACAGTCTACAAAAGGAATGGAAGCTAAGCAGTTTGATTCCATTTCATGTTTTTAAAGCTAGGATAGACGCTATACAATCAGAAAATATTGGTGTCTGTAAATGCTACTAGTATACAAACTGTAGTATCATATAATGTCCTTTGTTTTCTGTCATGTTTGTATTAATGTTTGGAACTAATTGAAGCAGGTCACCATTGTAAAAGAGGTCTATGATCTCAATGGGTTTTATCTGTATAAATAAAGGTTTTTTGAATTGAATTGAAACAAACTTTTTAAAAAAACGACAAGTAATTTGTAAGTCCTTTTCATGTTTGTTTCTTCAAAACTTTTAACACCTCCTTGAAAACAAATAATATAAACGAGATTGTTGCAAGGTTTTCCTTTGTGCAACAATATTGATAAAATACTAAGAAAACTACTAAAATCCCTATTGAAAATGTAGATCTATAATTGTTAGCAATCATTCCTTTTACACCAAATCATTGACCATGTTGGTTGAGCATTTGTATCTATATATGCGTGTTGGCTGCCACATAATAAGTGACATTTGTATGCATTTCCATCCTTATTGTTAAAGTGTCTCATGTTAAAAGGAAACATACTCTCCCATTGGCCAGGGCGGGCAGCAGCACAGAGGGGGGAGGTGTCTCTGCTGATCCTGGGCCTCCAGCATGGACACCAGGCTGGGGTACTGATTCTCCAGGTAGTTCAGCAAGAAGGTCATGAAGTTGTAGATGACATAGGCCTCATAGCACTCTCTGCATGTGTCCACATAAATTGCTATACTGGGCCATTTTAATGCAATCCACTGCAAAATAAAACATCAAACCAAAGGGATGGATTACATGAAAAGTAATGCAAGACAATGCTTCAGGGGAATGGTAATATGTTGTGTTGGTGTGTTTTTCAAAGCTACAGCAAGTCTGTGGATGCCTACATATGACACCTATATGCACAGTGTGTTCCACAATGGATGTGATCATAATATACACAACTCACACTGTCTAAGCTGTAGATTGGGACCATCCACAGTATTCTGAAACACAAACAGACACAAATGATTAAATAGCAGTTTCAAACTGTTGTTCATGATTGGCATGCCTGCTGACTTCTTTACCTGATGATGGGTTTCTGAAGCTCTGGCTGAGTGTAGTGAACCAGATGCTGCAGGATGCCCCATAATGATATGGGTATGGTCATGAAGACAAATATCCCAGCGATGAACCATGCTTTGTTATGAGTGCCAACCTGTCATTACATGGGAAGAAACAGACAACAAAGTTAACTTATTTTTACATTTAAGTAAAAGCAGATTTCGTAGTCAAGTACCAGGTGTACTCAGTTACATTTCACCACTGTGTTAAACCAACAGGGCTACCAGAATCAAAATCGAAGTCCCAGGCTTCTCCAATAATTCAACATAAGGATATATAAGACAAATAAAATACAAATAGTATAAACAGGAACTGAGTAGAAATACTATTAAATAGTCAAAGAGAATATTGCAAGACAAATGTGTAAGTATTGCAGAATAATTAAACTATATACATGTCAAATAAAATACCACACAAGCTAAATGTTACAGAGAATGTAGCAAGAGACAAAGTCAACGCAGGAGTCTACATACATGTACAATAGCATAAGATAAACAAGAACAGAATGTACAATTAAGAACTGAATGTCCAATTAAGCCACATATGAATCATATCCAGCAATCGTTTGAACTGACCCCTGACTTCTGCAGTTCCCAGATGCACAGTGGCAGGACGACTAGGAGCAACAATATATAAAGCACGACGACCAGCGGCCGGATCCATCTTCTCCAGTTGCCACAGGAACAAGGCATGTTGACATGAAGACGCTGCAGGCAAGGCCTTTAGAAACTAGCTGCAGGTTCGCAGGTGACAAAACAAATGACCTAGCGCTCCACACATTAAACGTTAGCTTTGCATTGTTATTCTTCAAAAGACTCTGCGAGACACAGGACAACCTCTCACTTGTGTGCAGGTACGTTAGCTATCCCAATAATGTGAATTCACACTCGTGACTGAGGACAAAGCTGCTGGAAGATAACAGCTCATATGACTCGATTTTTAAAGCTAGGTTGCTAACGTTAGCTAGTCAGCTTTTCATTATGTAAACAAAGAGAGCAGATGATCCAGTCTGAACGGATGAAAGTGCCTCAATGTCTACCGAAATCAAATAAAACTCGTCGCTGATATATCAATCCTCTCTCTAGACAAATGCATTCTTTACACTATTTGTTTTGGTAGCTTCTCGCTGTGAAAACTTTCCTCAAAAGTAATTGCCGTTTAATGTGTTCTTCCTGTTGCCTGCGTCATACGTAGTCCCGGCTACAATCTTGTATCTGATTGGTGGAATCGAGACAATCAGCCAATCGCTAAAGAGAGATTGCTTTCCCATTCTGACGTTACTTGGGGCTTGTTTTGTTTGCATTGATCACATGATCTGTGTATCGCCAGCAGATGGCAGTATGCGAATTATCATTTACCTCGATACTATGCCTAAAATCCATTGTAGTAGATTCCTACTGAGCCCCATTTCTACAGTTTGATATTGCACTTTAAAGCTATACAGACGTACAACATGGAGTCCTTTTTCTTTGTGCTGTTTAGGCAATTGATAAGTTAATATTAAAAAAATAACGGTCCTAAAATGTACTCCCATCTCCATTATAATTACCCACCAATCAATTAATCTGTGCTTCATTTATTAGTTTGTATTTAAGGCCTATTCTGAAGCCATTGAAAGTGAATGTATGGACAGAGTTGTTTATTTTAGTATGCCAAGCCGTTTTTTGTTGTTGTTTTTTTTACAAGAAACTGGTCCTACATTTGTAGTAATTTGTATTATATTGTTTGCATCTGTTTCCTCTTATACATTTAGTTTTTAGGTCTTCAAAGATTAAGATGAACACAACTAAAAGTGTGCACAGCCTGCGCTTTGTGTTGTATTTTTCTAATCTAAATCCTGCATTAACAAGGTAATTAAGAACACCCATCAGAACCTCCTCCTTACGTTCCGCTCTTGTGTGCAGACTGTGCACGTGTATTTGCACATGTTTGAGTATGTTTGTGTTTGTGTGTCTTCCTGTAAAACGAGGGAGGCAGAACTTTCCTTTCTGTTGCTCCATGTCTCCACTGCCCCACAGTCACAGATATCACTGGTTGGTGCAGGACAGATTGTTCATGAATTTTGAATTAATCCTTTTGGCTTTAATGAATTAGAAATAGTCTTTGCCACAAGACGTGCAAGCGAGTGCCAGCATGGATAGCTTGGAGGGATTGCCATGCAAAGCGGCACACAGGGTACAGCCATGTAAGGGCAGGGTAGATAAACATATGCTGTGTTTGATCAGACCCAAAACAGATCTTAGCATAAAGGATGCAGCGTCCATTATGTCTCACTGAATCATAGCCATTAGGGTGAAGTACGTCGTACAGTATGTTCCTTACAGGAAACACACGTAGACAGGGTAAGTAGAATGTATAAGTCTGAGGAATAATAATAATCAATGCACAACAAAGGAGGAGACTTACTGTCTGATTACTGAGATATAATGCATCAGCCAAAGTGCACCTCCTTTGTCAGAGGAATACACAAGTCTTCAATTGTTCAACAATTACTTATTTACCTTAATACGTCTGCCATAGGCCTTTGTGTCAGGAAATGTTCAGAGTCAGTGAGGGTGTACGCTTCAGTTCATCTGTTCCCGAACAACAACATAAGTGAACATGAACAGCAGTTAAAGCAAGAGTCTCTTTAAACTCTGATATAGCCTATTCCACTCTGCCATTGACCTCCTTTTTTGTTCAAAAACTATTACAATGACTTAAAAGAGCCATACATTCCTACGTTATCATGAACACTGTAATGTAAGACATAGCATAACTCAATAACATATATACTGTCCTGCTGCAGTAAATACCCAGGACACCAAATATGGACCTAAAACAGTCCCCAACATTTACAATATTTACTTGACTCATGTTCATAGGTTATTTTTTACCCTATTAGAGGTGTATATTTGTGACTTGTCAGCCTTATATTTAGTGTATTTTCAAGGGGTTTGCTTGCAAAGACAAAATATTTAGAATGTGCCTGCCTTATCCTTTATGTACCGGTCAAGTCACACTTACTCACTCATGGCTGGATTAACCGGCTTGAAAGCCCCAGGGCGAATAGGAGCTGCTGGGCCATCACTGACCTCCCCTGTTTTACCCCTCTTTGTGTCTTGTGTACAGTCTTCTATTCTAACAGACCTAGGCCTAGGTTATTTGACTAATCATTTTAGTAACATGATATAATGTGAAATCCTGCTTTTCTTTTTGCAGAAGAGGGAATGCCTTGCAAGGCAACGTTGTATCTGCTTTCAAATCTGATTAAGCTCTGCATGGAGTAGCACTTTTGGACCTTTGAGATCCTTTATTATTTGTTGTTCAGTTTAATTCAATTCAAGGCTGGCAAGAAACTGCGTTCCCACCAAATTCCACAGAGCTCAAACCACTTCACTTTTCTTTCTCTCTCAATTTCTCTCACTCTCCCTATTTATCTCTGTTACTTCCCAGAAAAGCTCCAAACATGCTCCAATTTGTTTCATCATCAACGTTTTGAGCAATTATGTATTTCAAGGTCACTCTAGCGTGATGGTGGCATGATTTCATAGGAGGAATATGGGCCAGTTTCATAAAATGTATGACCTGGCTGAGACTTATCGCCAACTCGCAACAAGCCAACGTCCGATAAAACCACGGCCGCTGCTATGTGCTGTTGGTGCTGGGTGTTTTGCAGCTTTGTGTATAGGATTACATGGCTCTGGTTTTTGTCTCTGTTTGAGAGTGTAAGTTTGGGTTAATGACACTTTTGCTTACAGCAAAGTGGACACAGAATAATGAGAAGTTGCCAGAGTCAGTCTTGCTACAGCCTTTAATGGGTTCAAACTAAACCAAAAGCTTGTTATATTAAATAAACTATAGTTCAAATGTGTTTTTTGCATTGAATCAAGTGCTGCTTTCATTAATGCTATTCAGTTTTGAGCAAATTCAATTTATGGCTATGGTGACATTTATTATAAGCAAAATCATTTGCAATCCTTTCACATCATCAAAGTCAATATTTCACTAAAAAACGGATAAGAAATGGTCAAAAAATGTTGTCCTTGATTCCTCTTTTGGCAACACAGATGAGAAGTTAGTCTTATGTATCAAATTCCCATCGAAGCCGTTCACATCCTCTCCGCTGACATTCGCAACCCTAAGGGCTCAGTTGCCAAGCAGGTCATAGTGTGTTTCTAATCACTCCCAGACGCTCTTTCTCCCAGACGCAGATGAAAAACAGAAGGGGCCCTCTCGACTTCCCGGAGAAATGACGATAATAAACCACCTTGTTCCTTACAGTGGAGATGTAAATGGTTTTATTGATATAAGCAGCAGTAAAATGAAAACAAACATACTGTACATGAATTCCATTTTCCAAAGATTATTAATTTTGCTCCGATGAATAGTGGTAAAATGAAAATTGTACAGATATCACCCTTTTTTTTGTACACAAGTGTGCAAAACACTCCGAATAAAGAAATAATTATACATACAGCACACAAACACACATGCTATCACACAGTCAAACACACAGGTTTACATATTCACATAACAAATAGTATACGGTGGTGCAGTTTTTTGTAGCTAAATATGGTTTCAACATAAAAAGAAATAATTTCAGGTAATAAACATACAACTTTCTTTGCTAGAATCAGACCAGAAGATAGATACCGCTCTCATATGTCTGTTTGTTAAATATGAAGCTTGCCTACTGCCCGCAGCCGGATAGCTTAGCTTAGCGTAAAGACTGGAAACAGGGAAACGGCTAAAAAGAAATCAAAAACATAACACAGTGTTGTTTATTGATCTTAAGAGGTGCTTGCAGGCGTGTTTCGTTAACTTTGGAGGGAGCCAACCAAGCTATTAACCTAATTTACGGTCTTTACGCTAAAATACGCTAAGCTAAGCTAATGAAAGAATAGCTCATTTAAAACCAAGCGATTGTACAGACATTGGAGGGTGGTCTTCTTATCTCACTCTTAGAAAATTAATATAACCCTTTATTAAAAAAAGTCAACCTATTCCTTTTTGATTTGGAGCGATTACCACAACAATTTTAAACTAATTTCATTACACAGGTAATATCGTCTGAGTAAAGTACTGCAATATAACACTTTATAAAAGTGGAGACATATATATATATTCCATTGGTAATTTACAAGCATAAAATACACAATTGTTGATGATGATATCTGCTAAAGTTCATAGTGATAGGAAAAAAGCTCATTCCTGTCCATTTTTGGTGATATTAATGCATTACCTCATATTTATCATTTTCTTGACTTGACTTGCTATGAAAATACAGTTGAGTTGTACCTTATCCACTTTAAAACTTACAACCCTGTAGGCCTACTTGATTTTGTGCCAGTGTACTTTATGCTGACATTGGATGTGATTCTGTTGTGACTTTTGGATAACCAAACCAAAAGTTTGGTGGTCTGTGGATCATGATTACATTAAAACGTTTCTTTTTCAATGAAGGGATGAATTTCTTTGTTCATGAGAGCTTCTTTGCCAGACAAAACAAATAACATTTGGATAAGGAACTCGAAGCAATATCTGCTAATAATACCACAAAGTAGCTTAATGAACGATGAGTGTGAGTATGAGAGTGTGCAGCCGTTTGCATGATAAATGGTAAATTAAATGTTGTTATAGCTTTCCTGTTTTCCACCGTTACTGAGTAGTGAACTCCTGGGAACCACCCATACTCATCTCCCATCCTTCCCACTGACAGCGAGCAGTCTGCTTGTTCCTTCCTGTAGCCTTGTGCATCCTTCCCAGTAGTGCTGCCCTTTACAAGAATAGCATGCTCTGCTTGTGATTCAGAGTAATTTATAGTCTCCGTTCAGCAGCATCCTGTTAAAGAGTTCTCCTCCTCTTCATCTAGCTCTCCCCCTTCTTCTCTCACGCTACAGCGTCACTGTCCGTGGGTGTGGGAATACAAGGAGTCTATTTAAGGAAGTTTAGCCTACTGAGAGGCTCGGGACACTTCAGAGCATTGTGTGCAAAGATCCATTGTTTGTTCCTTTAATCTCCAGTTCCTAATCCATCCCTGCCAGGCTCATTTGTTGCTTTAGTGGTCCTAAGGATGTGTATTTATTGTCTGAAAAAGTAAATGTATATATATATATATCAGGATGTGTATTTTAACAGCTGCTGGATATATGGAAGGGCTTAAAAATAATCCTCAGGTGACAGATCAATCGCTGTATTTCCTGA